TGTATAATGATGTGCCCACCACTACTACAGCATCCTACAGAGTGCTTTCAGCGCCCTGAGAATCCCGTGTTCTGCTTGTTCATCCCTTTCTTCCCGCAACCCTTGGCAGCCACCAGGCTTTTTACTGTCTATAATTTTGTACTTTCTGGAATGTCTGGTAATTGGAACCATACAGTATGTGGCCTTTTCAGATAGGCTTCTTTCACTTAGTAATAACTGCTTAAGGTCCCCCATATTTTTTCATGACTTGGTAGCTCATTCCTTTTTTAGCACTTGCTAGTATTCCATTGTCTACACCCGTGTGCTACTGTTTATCTATCAAGTCACCTACCAAAGGACATCTTGGTTGCTTTCAAGTTTTGTCCATTTTGAATCAACCTGTTGTAAACATTCGTGTACAGGTTTTCTGTTTCATTATAGTTCTCAGTTTATAGCCCCCTGCTATCCGCATGTCTTACCAAAGCTTCCCAAGCCCACTTTCAGTGAGCTGTAGGATACTCTTCTTTGAAAATAATTCATGTCAGAAGTTCCTCTGTGATAGTTCAGTTATTCTTCTGTCCTAAGTACAGCAAGGACTTGGATGGAGTCCAAGGTGAAAGTGACTCTCCTGCCCCCGATCCCCTCTCCGTCCCCTCCCCGAGAGGTGGAGCACCTCCTGGACTTACAGAGAACTTGAATTCACTTATTAAACACAAAGTGGGTGACGATATCGACCAAAGCAGACTCTGCTTTATCAATAGTGTGGGCTTGGTGAGGTTGCGGGGGGCGGGGGGGTGGTGATAGTGTGATAGTACTGTCACATGGCCTCTCCCCGAAAGCTAAACCTGCAGCCTGGGATTTACACAGCGTGTAGCTGTCTTCTGCTAACAAAACAGTCACTTTTACTAGAGTTTGTTCTTTTGTGGGCTTTTTGTCTTGACAATCACTTCATACTTTTTATGCTCTCAGTGTGTCTTTTCCCTTCTTCCATACTCTTGCCCCAGAAGGATGTATACAGGTTTAAAAAAAGAGGACAAAGAACACTCTCTGACCCCTGCACAAGCCTGAGTGACTGCTGAGGTCCATGGGATCACCCTGAAAGACAGGTCTGCCCTGCCGGCCTGTCTACGGCTCTAGGCAGTTTCTGGTTTTCACCAGTTCACTTATTTCTTTACTCAATATTTATTCCAACTTCAAAATAAATGGCTACTGATGTTATAGGAGAGATACTGCTGATACTTAGAGATATATTTGAATACTGGTAATTTCAACTTTTAATTACAAAGTTTGCTTAGAAAACTTCTTTAATATTTGGAAATACCACAAAGGAAAACTAGTCAAGCTTTTGCAAACGATTTAAGTTTGCTTAAAAACTTGAGACTGAAAGGAAAACATTTTATTAGTCTTCAAATGTGAATTTAAAGTATTCTTGTCAGTTTAAAAGTGACTTTAAAATCCTCCGCCACGCTCAAATTCCTTTAGTAAGGATTTCTAAAATGAATTTTTTTAAAAATTCTGGAGGTTAAATTTAACAGCCTTTTTCAGCATGAGTGTGTCTGCATTTACCCTACACCTGACCAGAAGCACCCTTTTCCTTAACCTGTCAGCAGCTCAGTTGAGCAGTCAGACTGCATTATTCAGTATCTTGTCTGACATGAGGACGGCAGTCCAGAGAGAAAAATATCACAAATTGGTGCCACACTTCAATAAATAGAGACATTTTATTTTTCACCAAGCTAATTCAATCCAGTTCAGTTCACTCTTTTTCCCCACTTAAGGACAGATCACAAAAGGCAGCCATGAATGACTGAGTCTGTCATGTGTTTGACACGTCCCTGTGTGAATAGAAGCCGACCATGAGGGAGGGGCGCTGCCTTTAGAGTTCAGACAATTCGGGTGCGGGAGCCGCCCCTCAGATCTGCTGAGGCACTGGAGAGCCCCCTCGCCCTCAGCTCCCGCCCAGGTCCGGGCGAATGGCTGGGCTCCGCAGCCTCCCTCTCCCCCGACAGTTGTGACTTTTGTCACTTGAGTCATCGTTAAGGGGTCTCATTTTTCAGGTTTTCACCAAGTTCCACTCTGGGGCCCTGAGGGCCAAGGCCATTGGACATTATATACTGTTTGCTTTGTAATTTTGATAAAAATCTTTGTTCTAAATGCCTGTTCCTTCTAAAAACCCTCATTAAATAAATATATTGCCATAGTGTCTGTTTCTTAGCTCCGTAATTTCTTCCTGGGGCATGCACTGAGATGTGCAGTCACACACTGTTATTCTTCCGGAATGTAATGTTTATGAGAGGTTAGAGTTGTCAAAGAATGGCCTGTTGCTTGTGAGTCAGGCCCGAGTCTTCCTTCTTTGCATCCAAACCTTTCAGGGGTTCCTTTCCACTTTGCTTCTGTGCACTCGGGTCTCTTTAGTGGCCCACATGGACACTCCTGTCTTGTGCCCCAGACCACCCCACACATCTCCAGAGTCCTGTTTCTGTGGCCTGCTGACCACAGTCTTCCTGTAATTTTAAATCCTATTTTTTCCCTTAAATTAGGCCTTCCTTGACATTGCTGTGATATGTTTCTCTTCCCCACATGGTCTGAAATTTTGACTCAACAGTGCTCTCCCCGACCTCCCTCCCTCAAGTGTACCCCTACCACTGTGCGCTTGCTCAAAATGGGTGAGTGATGTTCCCTTCTCATTGATCCTCGTGGCCTGTGTGTCGGGCTCCAGCACGCAGCCAGGGCTCGCTGAGCGGGTGGCAGGCAGAGCACGGGCCAGGGCGGCGTCACAATTACAAGGGCAGGTTCTAGAGCCAGACACCTCCACCACTTCCAACTAATGAGTGCATGGAAGGATCTGTGCCCTCGGTGAGTTGTGGCCTTATTTTGAAAGTGAATATCACACTTGCCTTAAAAGTTATGAGTAAGTGAGTGAATCCTGGTAAATTGTCTGGCACAGACCCAGTGCCATGTAAATGTTTATTCAATGAAGTCATTTTTTTTTAAAGATTGATTTATACAAGAACCGGGATACAGGCCAGATGTGTGGGAGGGTGAGAGGATTCACCAGAGACAGAGCGGGGAACAGAACAGGCAGACTGACGAAATACACTGCTGAGGGAAGCAGCGGGTGAGACAGGAGAGGTCTGCCACGCCCTGTGGGTTTCTCCCCTGCCGGGTGGGATTGACCCTGCACTGCAGAGGCTGTGGACAGCTTCACAGTGTGGCGCTCAACCGCCTGCGCCAGCAGGGAGGCCCAATAAAGTCATTTCTTGAATGTGTTCTATCAGTCACTGTGCTAACTCTTTTACAGCTTCTTAGCTCCTCTGATCTTCACAGTGGTCTTGTATGATAGATGCCGCCATCCCTGTTCTATGGATGCAGGAACCCAGGCACAGCCAGGGTTTAGTAACTCACTCAAGGTCACACCGTGAGTCTAGAGCCAGACCAGGACTGTGGTCACACCACCTGGCTCCGGGGTCCTCAGGCATGTCTCTGCACTGTCCAGCCTGCGGTAAAGGCGTTCGTCCTTGAGGGTGTCGCAGTCAGGTGGGGAGAGGCGCAGTGGGACGTGTATCCTGATCTGTGAGGAAGCAGCCTGCGGTGGGGTGATGGGGCAAGGAGCGCTTAGTCAGAGGACCCTTACGTCAACGGCCTTGGACTGAGCATCGGACGGGTGGGAAGCTGCTCCCACAGCATGGGGTCGGAGGGTCCTGCGTGATTACATCATTATAAATTTTGGCGGGGGAGGGGGGTTCTTTTAAGCATCAGGGTCTTGAGGCTTTGGGGACTTTGTAGTAAGCCGCAAAATGGTGAAATACAGGGAATGAGGAAAGGTGGCCTGTGAGCGGTGTGTTGTCAGTATATAAGCATGTTTTAGTCATCTCTAGCGTGCTGTCCAGCCCACTGACATGCCCGATTACCCAGAGTCCTAGGATAGACCAGCATCTGGTTCTGGAAGATTGTGCCACAAGTCTTAGTCATAATCAATGAAACCTTGGATGTCAGGGGAATTCTCTGAAGGTTTACCCCGTAGATTTACAGCCTGGGAGAGGGACCTGTAGGATAGACATTTTCCAGACATTATATCCAGTGTTCAGACTTTTCATGCACACGAAGTTTTAAAAGTCAATTTTTTTCAAAGAATTACAGTTATTTGATAATGCACAAATAATGAAAAAAAATATCCTTTTGTTTTAAATGAAAAAGATTGCTAAGATAGTAATGCTTTCTAGAGGTTTAATGACTAATACTCTTAAGTGCTGGGCAAAAACTAAACATGAATGGCAACGATGAAATATTTACTCATCAGAAGGCTTTGAAGTTTAGCTTCTTCTTGGTTGCAGCCCCCTTCCTGATGGACGTGTTTCAAAGAAGAAAATGATTATAGCATTCAGCTGTGAGGTTTTCTTACTCTCTGCATGGAAGAAACCTATTTTGTTTAGGCCCATTTGAGTATTTAAATTTCGAAGACTATGCTTAAAATCATACTAATGACAGAAACGGTTCATACAGCCCTGAATTCATTCTCATTGATAGGGTAATGTTTAAAAGTTAATTTTTTCTATTGCTTGTAGAATTTTTTTAAAGATTGCTTTAACTCTTTTATTCTACAGTCTTTCCAACCTAAGCTTACTTAATTCTCCACAGTTTTATATTATAAAGCCTAAGGTGAGTGTCTGGATAAAACAAGTGCTATGTTATAAAATTCAGATTTATAAAATATTTTACTGTTTAAAATCTCTTATATAAGTTTAAAGGTGTTTGGAAACTATGTATTTAGAGGTCCAGTTTTTCAGCTCTGATAATAACTGAAGGGTTTGCCTTCGAAGTTTAAAATTGTGGATGTTTTAGGATGTTGAGTAAATAGTGTTTTCCTTCTACATCCTAGATTAAATTTCACTCAAATGACCAAATGAGGACTTTGTAATGACAATTTCTAATGTTGGTGGAAAAAAATGTTCTTTTTATGTTTCTTCTCATGTGGACTGCGATGCAGTGGTGACACTTATGTTCTGTCTTTTATTACTCAGTTTTCATATGAATCTGACAAGCAGTGAAGACCTCAGGAAAATCCCGGTGAGTGGCTGAGGGACTCAAGAATGACCGAAGAACAAGCCATGGGCCAGCCTCTGCGGGGCAGGGCTACGGTCTCCAGCCCCTTGAGTCCCTGTGGCCTGTGGGTTATAGCTTGGTGTGGTGGTAACTTGGGGAGAAAGAAAAGCAAAATTCACACTTTGTCTTTAATATTTGATAGAGTGTGACTTCTATACGATTGATTGGAGTTCAAGCAAATACAGTTCTAATTGAAGCCAATTTAGATTATCCATATTTTGTTTGCTGACTTATTATGAAAGCTGTATGTCGAGGTCAACATTATGGTTATGAGACGAGAGCATGTGGAGGAGAGTAACATTTCTTCTTGTTGTGACAGTGATTGAGAATTAAAACTGCTTGTTAACATTCAATAACAGGAAAAGCGTCCTGGCAAGAGATCCAGTTACTAGGACGGCATTTGAAAGAGTCTGTAGGACACTTACCACCCTCGTTAGAATGAAACCAGCTATATTAGCAGAGTTGGTAGCAACCAGCTAAGTTAACGCACACATTTTGCAAGGATTATTCAAGTATCTTAACTTCATTTTATAGTTATTTGATGTCAAGTTTGGGATCTCTGTTCAGAGCTGCGTTGCATCTTTGGCCTATTCAGAATGTACTAAACCTGCAGAATAAGTCAGTTTACAAAAATAGGGGCACATGTTCTTGGTAGAAAATGAAATTCTCACTGAATAACAGAAATAGAGCCTTTATTCCAAGAGGCTGGTGGTTGTGTTTGAACCATCTGTCCTTAATGTGTGATCCAGATGTATAATAAGAATTTTTTTAAGCAATAACATATCACAATTTTCTATGATGTGATATGCCCCGGAGAAACCGTTGGTGGTGTATAAACCATTTTAAATGTACTTATTTGTCTTTAAAATTGTAGAAAACATTAGAGAAGCAGAGGACTTTGTACTGTGTTTTTGCTGTTTTATGTAAATGATTTGTAAGTTTTGATGTTTCATAAATACTCGAGTCTTTATAATACGGCAGTCTGGCAAGAAATGTCAGACTATATGAAGTCAGCCTTTGATCAGATAATAAACTGAATTCTATCAGGCAGTTACTTAATCTCAAACAAAATGCAACATCAAAAAATCAATTTAATGTGCAGCTATTGTTTATTAAGTAACCTTAATTACAATTTCTATGTGCTTGTAAATGTACTTTTCCAAATCTTGTAATTTATTGCTGTAAAAGCATCCTTAGAATTCTTTAAAGAAATAAAAAGTGAAAATTGTTTTAGTTAAAGGATTTAAAGGTGATAAAAGAATCCTTGATGTGTGATTATTTTTCTCTGGAATACTAACTATTCTAAATGACAGTTAAAGGATTACTAGGTGTTGTTAATTTACTGCAAAATACAATTAAGAGGAGAAAGCTCATCCTTATACTGATCGTTATTGAGGAAAAGTATTTGAGCAATTTTTATGTGGAAGATTGTAAGATGTTTGAAGTAATTTACATTAAGTTCTCCAATAATAGCCATCCTCCAACTTATTTTTTCCCCTTCTGGACGTAGTATTTTGTAATTAAGTTTGTATGTCTTATATGCTAGTGCCAACACCTGTCTGTGAAAGCACAGTGTTTAAACAGGAGCAGTAGCCAGTTGAAAGGGCAGTGTGAGCTCTTTAAGGCCTAATTAAGAACTGAAAGGGAGATGAAGGGAGTAGGACAAAAGATGTGAAAGTAGCTGAGATGATATTCCCAGAGCAAAGTTCCTCATTAGAACAATAATGAGATGATCAGAGAATGCCAAGCCTTCATCTTATCTCTCTCTCTCCCTTCTTGCTGCCTTGGATGTCAGTTAGTACCCCACCAATATTTGGTTACCAGGACAACCTTTCTTTAAATCTTCAGTTATTTTGAGTCCTGATAATTTGCTTTTGTTCAAATTTAAATATTGTAAAAAATATACATTTCCTAGTTTAAGAGGCTAGACTAAGTGTAAAGTAAAATAGGTCGCTCGCAGTCTTCAAAATCTTCACAACTGTTATTTAAAATTCTGATTAGAAAACATCATGTAATTCTATTAATCTCTCAACCCCTATTTTCTTACATCTGCATGTGGAAATTTTTAACCAAAGTTGGGTAGAAATGATAAAGGATTGGTTGTGAAAGGAGAAGAAAAGTATACATTAAATTTCAATGTAAAAAGACACCTTAAAAACATCTGTGCTATCTGTCTGTGGCACTGACAGATAAAAAAAGATTGAGTACGTAGGAGTCCTACTATAGGTTATTTGAATCTTGACCAGTTTGGAGAGTTTGTGATTTTTGTTTTATCCAAGAACAACTTTAAAGTATCTTTTGAAAATTCATTCTTTAAATTTGCCTGAGTTTTCTCTGTAAGCAAAGTAATTTTTGTGACCAGAAAATATCTTCATTTTGCATTTGTTAATGTTAATCTTTATTATTTTATTTGGAATGATATCAGCAAACAGAAGGCTATAAATATATTTATTTAGTGTCGATTTAAGAACCTTGTTCCTAAAATTAGAAGGTTTACATGATTGCAAATGTGGGATAAAGTCTGGAACTAAGCATAAAACTGTTTTTAATTATTTTATATTCTTTTCCAGAATATAGTTTGTAGTACATGTGTTTCTAAGATGTTTTCCTGCCTAGAAACTTGATGCAGTGATTTGGGGTGAAATTTTCACGTAAGAGGACAAGTGGAAAATTTATTGAGAAGGTCAGAAATGTATTTCCAGGAAATCTGTCTATACATAAGTACTAGAGGATTGTGATGGGGGAAAAAAAAAAGCCATGCAGTGGATCTGTATATTCTAGATTAGGACGGTAAAGGTTTGAACAACATTCCAGGATACTAACTGATTATTTTGAGAGATAAAAATGTTATATTGACTTATATATCATGGCATTAATTTAAAGTAATGTCAGAATAGGATTTTTTTTTTTTCATGTCTTTCATCCTCATTGTCTTTAAAGAAATGTTTTAAAATTTTGTTAACTACATTATCTGGTTGTACCGGTGTACTGTTAAATATAGCAAGATAAATGATTTTAAAAGTGTATCATCACTTAGTCTGAAGAAATCAGCTCACATGTATAATTTGATTTAGATTAGAGAGATTCAAATGGATGTTATTATGTTAAATTAAGGAAAAAAACATAAAAGTCATGAATCACATTTACCAGCTATGAATCCCACTTAGTTAAATTTCATTAATCCCAACAACTGTCACAAGAATTATTTTCAATAAATGTTTTATTAGTAAAATGAAATCACCTTATTTGGACATTATTGCCTTTTTAAAATGTAGTTCAGAAAAAAATCACTTTGTAGACCAGAAAATTTTAGAGTTAAAGGGGACCTTGAAGAACCTCCTGTTTATCAGAAAACCAAAGTGAGACCTAGTTTAGTTTCTGTGTCAAATATGTACAGTTATTTAGATTATAGTAAGAAAATTTAGCTTTTTTAAAACATATCCTTTACAAACATTTTATTTTAAACATTTTAAACATATCCTTACCTATGTAATATATACTGTTATCATTTCTGTAAACACCCCTTAATGTAAAAAAAAAAATAAAAATGTGGTTGGGAATTTTTTCTTTAAATTTTCTTTATTTTCTGTAGAAGAACTGGGGTGTAGGCCAGAGGTATAGGGGTGTGTGTGAGAGGATTCACTAAGGACAGAGTGGGGAGCAGAACAGATGGATGTACTGAAATCCACTGCTGAGGGGAGCAGCGGGTGAGACAGGAGAGGTCTGCTGCGCCATGTGGGTCAGCTCCCTGGTCAGGGATCGAACTCGGGTCATAGCAATGATGATGCTTAACCCCTAGACCACTAGGGAGCCCCTGGTTAGAAATTTTAACAAGTTTAATGTCTCTGAATTCATGATCAGTTATATCAGTGGGTGTGGTGGTGGGAGCGAGAGGGAGGGACAGGAAAGAGGACTCAGAGGAGAGAGAAGACTCTTACAAAATATTGATCCAAGGGAAAAGAGAAAAAGCCAAGCAACACTTGTCTCCAGAGTGGTCCTTGTCCTTTAACTGTTGTAGATCAATATCCTGAAATAATTTTAGGGCTAAAGGTCATATATCTTTCCAGTTTCTAAGGCTGCAATGAAGTAAGCTGTTTCCAGTGTATTGTAGTCTCATTCCCTGTGGCATCCTCTCTTTTCATTCTGTTAATCTACTGGAGTCTCTTATTAACGCTTGTCTTTAGTATTTCAATATTAAATATTTTGTAACTAATCTCAATCCTAAGTGATCTCACCCTCTGGTGCCATTGTAATCTTCCTGGAATTTAGCTTTAATCCCGTCTTTCCTCTAGGTAGAAACCCTCAGTGGCTGCATATTTCCCTAGTAGGATTCCACAGCCTTGATGGTCTGTCTGGAACTCACCCTTTCAGCCTCAGTGCTCCCTTCCTTTCGTCCCTGAAGCCTGTCCTTGACCTCCATGCCTTGAGGCTTGTCTCCTCCCTCGCCCCTGCAGAGCCCACTGCTTGCCATGCCCATCCCGCATGTCTGCCTGGCAGAATCTTTGCAGACTCCGATCTTCTCCACCACATCTGAGAGAGCCTGCAAGATTGGAGAAGTTACTCATTCCTGAATTGTTTTCCTTTGTCCTGGAGAGGGGTGTGCTCCAGTCACCACGCCTCACGTGGCTCTGTTGTCCAGCGTGTCTCGGGCTGGCATATGGTTCCCCCTGGGAGGAAGGGGCAGAGAGTCATTAAACCTTGGCCCTACTGACGAAAGCTCCTGGCACACCGCAAATTAAAGTAGATCCTGAAAAGGAGTAAAGACAAATTTAGTATCTGTGATAAAAGGGGGAAATGCCTTTCTGTGTTCACCCATTCTGCATTTTCCATCCTGCGCTGACTAGATTACATGCTGTTAGTTCTTAAGAGTAAGACCAATTTCCTCAATATTTTAGTGTATTTCTTTAAAGGCAAATGAAAATGTTTTGAAAAAAAGTAGTGAAAATTATTTCAAGTTGTTGAGTTTAGTGGATAGAAGTTTGTACAAAAAGGCATTTGTATTTGGGCATTATATTTTGTATTTGGGCATTATATTTTGTATTTGGGCATTATATTTTGTATTTGGGCATTACATTTTGCACAGTGAAAAATTAATTATTACTCATGTAAGTAGAAGATGATGTTGCAGTGTCTCTGATTAAATTCCCAAGAAATATGTTTCTTTTAATAGTAGAATGCTTTGTGATATACATGCATTAAATCAGTGCCGTTTTCTTTGTGGTTCATAGTTAAACACTTTTTGTAAAAACAATTTCAATATAATAAGTAAAAAAGTGAAGTAGAGAATGAAGACGTGCTAAACTTAAGTGTTCATGCAATCCTTACTGAACACTGAGTTTCCTGATGACCAAAGCAAAAAGGGACGTAAGATACATTATATAGGTATTAGTGCTAGGAGGAGGAAAGAGACTCGTTACTCAGGGGAGAAAAAACTCCGTTTGCACTAAATTAAAACAGAAGTTACTCCCTGGGGGCTTCTTCCAAGGATGCTCATTGATGTAATTCTGAATGCCTTGAACATTTCATAGCAATTGGAGAAGCAAATTTGATACTGCTGCTGCTTGGAACCATCTTCAGTAAAAAGCTGAAGGCATAACATTAAACCGCAGCTCCATGGAAGCAATTCCGTGAGGATTAAACTCATGTCCAAATGATAATTTTCATTAGCTTCTTATAGTTCTTCAGAGTTCTTAGTTTTTTTTTTTTTTTTTTAATCTATTTAGTTTTATTTACTGCGGCCCATTTTCTCTGTTAATATGCCCTTAAATTGTATGGTCAGTTTCTTTTATTAGGACATTATTCTCCCTGTGAGAAAGGGTTTTAGGAGAATTTAGAATGACCGTCAAGCCTTTGGTGCAGCTGCCCTCATCTTTGCTGTGAGCTGTCACATTGGTTCTAGCCAAGGACAGAGAAAAAAATTTGATTGGGCATTAAAAAAATGAAAAGTTGAAGTTAGAAATGATTCCTTTGTCCCTGGTATGCTATTTGCTGAAGTAACGGTGTCTGTCCTGTTCCAGGACAGCAACCCTTTCGACGCCGCTGCTGGGTACCGGGGTCTGACCTATGAGGAGGTGCTGCAGGAGCTGGTGAAACACAAAGAGCTCTTGCGCAGGAAGGACACCCACATCCGGGAGCTGGAGGATTACATAGACAACCTCCTCGTCAGGGTGATGGAGGAGACGCCCAGCATTCTCCGAGTGCCGTATGAACCGTCCAGGAAAGCTGGCAAATTCTCCACCAGTTAATAAGCCAGTTGCACTGAATTTATAATTGGGGGAAAGAAGAAGAAGTGGAGAGAGAAAGGAAGCGGAAACACTGGTGACTGCACGAGACTGCACCGTCAGGTCTCATTACACGCCCCCTCCATGTGGAAATGTGTCCTACCTGTAAATATTAACAGGCGCTCTCAAGAGTGATCTTTGAAGTGAGCTAAATTTAAACCTTTAAAGTGAAAACAGGCCAGATTCTCGATGAGTGAGCAGTTCCTTAGGATTTGCTTGGGTGCTGGTGCTGGCCTGCTCGTCTGCTGTAGGCCCAGAACTGTCTTCAGAGGTTTGTGACTTATTCCTCAGGAACAGATTTCACATAAGGTAGAATGGATACTGTGGCTGATTTCTCAGAAATCAATTTGCAGACGTATTTAGCTGCAGGAATACCGCTCATAAACACTACGACTAAGAAAAAGTTCATATTTTATATACGTGTGTACATGAAACATGTTCATGTATCTTTGTATGTAAAATACATGCATATACCTCACATACACATGTGTTTTTAGAACATTTGAGAACTACTGGTTGTCTCTAAAATTAGGGTACTGATTTCTTAATTTGAAAATATGTGTGTGTGCTCTATTGCTGCAAAACAAATCATCGCTGCTCTTAGGATTGACTGTAGAGAAGCTGCTTCAAATCACTCTTGAATCTGAACCCTGGTCTCCAAGTGAGCTGCTTTATGTATATAATCGCAGCATCGAGTATTTTCCAAAAGTGATGACCCAGAGTCCTTTCTTAAAGAAGGACATGTTTTAGGAAACTTCATTAACTTTACAACAGCATGAACTTCTTGAATTTATTTTCTACCTTAACATTTGAGTTTTGTTTAAGCTATAAGCAGAAGATAAGTTAATGCAATTTCTTGAGATTCTGCATGACTTTAAATCATAGCAAGGGAAATATTAGGAAGTTATAGCTGAAGATAATTTCGGGGGGAGAAAAGTAGGTGATTGATGACTGATAACCCAAAGCAATGGGCAAATTCTAGGAATGAAGAATTAGGCTGGGTTTCAAGTTACGTAAATAATAGAACAGATGGTTGCATTTGGGTCTTGAACCAAAATAAGAGTTACTAAAGGAGGATTGAGTTTTTAGAACAAAAGCTAGCATAACATCATACACTATTCTACATCTACCCTTCAAGAATATCTCAAAATTAAATGTTGACTTTTTTAAAGTCTGTTCCCCCAGATTATTCATTACTTAAATAAAATGAATTATCTGTTTGTATAAAATAATTTTGAAATCTAAAGTGAAAAGCAATGGTTTAAAAGGTCACTAATCATTTGCTCATTATTTTTTAACCTTACAAATCTAAAATGCTCTGAAACACTGAATGTGTCTTTTGGAATTTAAAATGAAAACCCACTGGATATGGAGACATATATTCCTATCTTTTTAATAAACTGCTTTTTTGTCTGATACTTTCTCTACTAAGATTTCACTGAATGTTAAATAAGTTTTTAAATGAGCAACGGTTTTGCCCATTTTCATAATTGATCAGCTAAAATCCATTGTTGTCCTTTCTGAGTTTCTTTCACTTTTCCTCTGGAAACACACATTTTTGAATTCAGAAAATTTTTCCAAATACAAAAAATTTCTTCCTTTTAGAGTGAAGAAAGGAGAAGGAAAAATAGCTTTTATTAACTTTTCTTCCACTCTAAAATTTCCATAATAAACCTCAAAATCTAGGGTAGAATTTTATTTTCCCATTTGAGATTTTAGAATTATAACATGGTGCCATTTTAATTAACATTTATTAAATATTACAAAATTCTTAGTGTTTATTTTTTTTGTTAGTATAATTGATACTCTGATACTTTTGAAATGCCAAAATCCATGTGTTTTCAGTATTATGATAGATAATCTACAGATATTTTAACCACTTTGGCCAAATTTGTGCTTTATAGAATGAACCTTGATGCCAGTTTCGTATTGGGGGTATGGTCTATGTAAATAGAGCTCATAAAAGTATAGTTGAAATACTACTGTTGTTTTATGAGCAAATTCATTTTTTAGGAGATATTCTTTGCTTATATAAAAGTTGTTAAGGATTATACTTATCCATATGTGAGAGCTGGGTTATGAATTTTATCTTTAAACCTGAGACAAGATTTGTATTGAAAATTGAATCTGCATTTTTCACTGTCTAAAAATGTTCTGACATTTATGAATTTTCTTTCATGACCTCATATTTTCATAATTGGTTAGCATAAGAAAGATAAAAATGTAAAAGTAAGTTCTCAAGTAAACAGCAGTATTCCCAGTGTTTGGGCCGAAATGCAGACAGTAGTTTTAATTCTAGCATTATAGAAGAAGAGCAAAAAGATCACCTTAATTTTTTTCCAAAATGTAATTTTTAAGTATTCTATTGGTATACCATTGTTTAGAAATGGAAATAAAATACATGTACTCATTAAATAATGCACAGCACAATAGACTTATAAGCAGATTTTACTTAGCTTTTATGCATAAATATTTCTCCACCAATAAAAGGATTTTTTTAAATCACAGAATTGCTAGTTATTTCAAACCCAGCTTAAGCTAATCTATTTTGGTTACAAAATTCAAATATTCGTAGTATTATTTTACAGCTAGTTCCCATCCTTGTCCTAAAATTCAGTTTTGAAACAGTTGAGCATTCTGCCCTCCCACTTATGCCTCAAGGTTCATTTGAAACCAGGGCCTTGTCTTAGAATTGTATATAAAATAACGTGCCATCCGTCCATGAGAAATGTCGAGGTTGCTTTTTTGCTGCTCTATTCTGCATTGAGCCTCATTTTACCATCCCCCCATGAATGTAGTATTTTCCATAGATTATACATAGCTACAGCTATTGCTTTTAGCAGTCAATGAAGATCGAATTGTAGTTTTCCAGCTGTGAAAATAAATGTTGCCTTGTATTTAAAAGGGTTTCATGAAGGGAAACCTAAGTACAACTCGACTCATTAGTGAAGACTTGCTTTCCTCCCATCCGTTCTTTCCCAGCTCCTCCGCCTCCACCCCCCACCCCCAGAAGGGTGCTTATTCTTTAGTAAGGAGAATCTTTAAAAAAAAAAAAAAAAAAAAAGACCTGCCATCTTTAATATATCTGGTAATTGTTACACTAGAGCTTTTGTTTTCTTCTGTAGCTTTTTAGGAAAAGCAGCCTACCTTGGATTTGTAAATCAAGCTGACACTGATGTCCGCGTACTCATACGTCTCTTAGAGCTGGTAGGTGTCACGTGTGTGTGTACGTGTGTGTGTGTGTGTAAGTGAAGTAAAAGCATGCTCATTCCCTTGATCTCTTTGAAGTTAGAGGTGAGGATCGCCGTGCAGCGGGTTAGTGATGGTAGAGGGAAGGGTCTGTCAGCACACACTCCAAGCACCCATTTTCACAGATGTATAACTAATAATCCAGATGCAATCATTGGAGGTATTTAATATGCAATAGGTAGCACCTTATCTAATTAATCAGCATATGAAGGGTTTTCTGATGTATGTAATAAGTGTAGAAGCTCTTCAAGCATTAAACTAGAGTTGACATTTTATTTCATTTATTTTGTACATCAGAGAACCCACTCTTTGGAACTGAAGTCTGTAACAAATGATACATCAGGCCTATTTATCTTCTAAGCTTCCAGGTAGTTTATACTTTGAGGTACCAAACAAATGCTGCAGATCTAGAAATGTATATATTTCGCAGGTATTTGAACGATATAAGCATTATTTATAACTGAAAAGTATTACATTTACTAAGTCAAATGCTCTAGTACCTTGCATACAATTTTGCAGGCACAAATTCAAAAGTACGTGTAAATGTTGCATAATGTGACAGTTGTATAATTTATGTAATCGGAGGCATGAATCAGAACTTTTATATATTATTGACTTATAGTTGATTAAAGTGTTGAATCTTAATTCAGTTGTCATAATTTCTTACTGCGGATAAAACAGTGTGACACGCATTTGTATGAGTCCTTGTCTTTCAATAAATACTTCCGTTGCCTTTGATTGCATTGCTTTTGGATTCATCTGTTATCCTGCAAGTTTTCAACATTTGTTAGGCAGCCTCGCAAGCCAAAATTTATATGGGAAAGCACCAAGTTGAATTTTGCTATAAGAGGTTCTCAGTTATTAAGTGTTGTGGTCAAATGTAAGATCGGCTCCACTGTGTTACTAATATGAGTGCCAAAGTTTGCAAATGATTTTTTTTAAACAAATTGGAGTACAGATTACTGCCACCAGAATGCCCTGCTCTTTCTGTTGTATCCTCGGGAGTCAGTGCAACGTGTGGGTGCCCTGCAGGGTGGTGGTTCCCAGCAGGCGCCCCTGCGCGTCCCGCCTTCATGCAGGGCCGAGATGTCTCCAGAGCCAGGGAGGCACGTGGGTGGCGAGGCAGGCCAGGGACAGAAGGGGAGGAATTCCTGAGGCCAGTGGCAGTCTAGGGGGCTCATCTCCTTCATGAAAAGAGGGCAGCAGCTGTTCAGCTCCAGCTCCGGGGGCCATGTGGAAGCGAGCGCAAGGCCTAGGCTGCTAAGCCAGACCTAGAGAAATTGAATTAACAGATTTTTTTATGTGACATGTAACTTCCAAATTAACAACTAAGATCGGCGCGTCACCAATTTGCAGTCCCTTTAATGAGTCACTGCTTCTGATGGTCCATCCGTCGTACTCGTGGTGACAGTAATTCAGAGTACGGTTGTTTACTTCCTACAAGTGATTGTTTCATCAAAACCTAAGCCGGCTGAGAGGCATGTGAGGTGTGGTATGTGAGACAGAACCCAGCTCAGCTCAGAACTAAATGGGCTGGAGAAAAGGTGAACAGGTGAAGAGGGTAAGACCCTATAGTGGGTACAAGTTTCAGTTGAGCAAGATGAGGTGGAGACTTCTAGAGTTCTGCTGTGCAGCATTGCGCCTGCGGCTCCAGTGCTGTACTGCACGCTCACCTGAAGATTTTGATAAGAGGGTAGATCGCATCTTAAATGTTCCAGAATTAAAAAACTTTCTCCCGTGTGTCTGCCCCTGAACCTGGATGCACTCGCTTTGAAGAGGGACAGCTAAGGGCGACTGCCCTGGTATTTGGAGCATATTAGAATGTTGCCCGGGGACCTGGTACATGTCCTGTTTGTGGTAGTTAGGAATTTTCAGCATCTTCTTTATGATGGTCTTGCCTTTTGGTAAAATGGAACAAAAGCACAAAAAATGTTTCGGAGATTAGTTTAACACACTACTGCGTGGTGGTAAGGTCAAATCACACAGGGCGCGTGCAGCTTCCAGTAATAGGAAGTCAGTGTTTTCATGGGATTTTTTAGGGGTGTTTGCTTTTCTACATCAGCATCTAAAACCTCACCTACTCTGACTTGGCCCAATCAGGAAAGGACAGTGGGGCCTCCACCGGTCACAAGGGGTGTCCCCCGTGGCAGTGTCAGCATTGCCTAGGAACTTGTTAGGAGTGAATTCTCAGGCCCTCTTCCAGAAACTAGGGGAAGCCCAGGAAGTTTTTTTTTTTTTAAGAAGTGTTTCCTCCAGGTGTTTCAAGTGAACATCTGAGGCACCTTGACACAGAGGGCCCCACGATCCTTTTATTTTTCTTTAATGTGATCTGGAAAACTCTTTGGAGACTTTATGTAACTTTCCTCGCCGGTCTTGAATTTATTTAGAGACCTGTCTTTTTAGCTTTGGATGAATATTTTGCACTTTGGAGACTAAGTATGAAATGTCATGTGACAGACAATGCATTATGCTGAGGCCTCCACTGAGCTAGACATAAGGAACGGGACAGAGAGCGGCAGTCACCTATAGAGTGTGCTAGAATGAGGTTTTGAATAAATGTGTGAAGTTGGGTAATGAACCTTAATATAACAAATGAAACCAACTTGTGACTCGAGGTGAGAGGTTTTACTTAGCAGGCATTTTGCAAAACTTTGCTAGTTACAATCATTTTTGTCAAACGTGTGTGAAAAGCTTACATTCTTTTTGATAGTCAAAACTGGGTCAAATTCTCATTTCTAGGGAACTCTAGAATGAAACTTTAAAAATCTGGCCTGATCTTGCATCAAATATTAGACACACTGAAATGATGAGGACATGGCTATGATGCATGAGGTTCAATAATCTCAACTCAGGACGGTATGTAAGAGTATCCAACGGGAGGGAATGGTGTTGGTTTTTACGCTGTGGAATGATGGTTAGGGCATTGAAAGTATAAAAAGGATGAAGAAACATTTTAACACTGGCAAAGCTTGTTGGATGTGGGGCTTTGGTTTTAAGTTTAAATCAGTGCAAATTCTCATGAGAAATGTCAACATCCCAGCATTGGCCTTTCCTGGGAAGGCCAGGTCCTGGGGTGCTCAGCCCGCTAACAGCGGCACTGATTCAGAATCCTCTGCCTGAACCTGCCTTTGGCAAAATTTTGCTACCATTTAAAGGGTAACAAAATTGGCTTATGGATTCACTTCCTTTTGTAGTAATAAGGGAGGTGTTAATGAGAGGAGAGTGGCAGAGAGTGGCAGAGGAGTGGGTGGAGTAGGCTGAGAGGGCAGGTAGTCAACCTTCTTACTTCCGGTTATAATCTAGGACTTCCGAGTTACACCTGCTGACAACCGTGTTCGTTTAGGTTCTAGGCTATGCGCCCACACAGCACGAATACCTCTTTTAAGACAGAATTCTTTAGTCATCAACAGTTGACTGATGCAATAGCAGCATTTACCGTTTTTATGTTTACATTTAAAGTATTTTTTTATTAATGTACTGTTATTGAACATCTTTCATGATTTATAAGCTGTAAAATATTTTAATCCTTGACTCATTTGTTTACCAAGCTATTTACTTAATACTATATAATATGTAGCACTTGCGGCCATCTGTCAGGAATATTTGAATACTGTGCACACTGTGAAGAGATGTACAGCAAATAAAACACAAAACACATGAAATATTCAGGAAGAGTTTGTGAAGACAATCCATGTATTTTAATTAAAAAGAGAAAAAGTGTTCTGGAATCCGTCTTTCCAAAAATGAAATTCTTCTTACGCCAGGCAAAATGCTGTGTGGAGATGGCATTAAGATGGCGTTTTGACTTTGGCGAGTAGCCTTTCCATAAAAGGACTCGAATTAATACTCATTAGAATCATGCTTTTAGTAGCTCCTCAGTGAGTGTGAGAAGTTACTGCAGAGTGACTGCGGCAGCTGATGGAACCACAGTAACAGCCGGCCCAGGGGGAGTGCTGGGTGTCTTGGGGGTCATCCTGGAGGAAGGGCTTGGGGGAGTAGCAGACTGAATTTGGTAGTCTCCTAAATACTGAGTTTGGGGTGATGGGATCCTGCCCTTGAAGAGGATTGTACCTTCCTGGGGGTTGAGGCTACTTAGTTTTTTCTTGCCTCTGAACTAGAGGAGGCTGGAGGAAAGTTAGCACCATGTGGGGTCGTTGTGACAGATTGAAAATTGAGATTTCCCAGGTCACTTCGGAGACCCCGCCCCCTACTTCCAGCCAGGAGAGAATCCAAGGACCCTAGATTTCTCCTGAGACACTGCTTATGACTTCGGGGTCACCTTCTCTTGATGCACCTGTCATGGTGCCTCCTCTAAGAATGTGCCGGAACTGTACATGCACAGAACAGAATTTAGTGCCCACTAGACCAGGACATGGCTGGCAGCGTGTAAGTCTTTATCGTGGCATTCACTCTACTGCTTTCTACTCTTGTGTTTTGATGCCAAACCAGGCCATGTTGGAATTAGACTGCTCTTTTTTAGTGCCTGTTGCTTTTTGGTGTCAGAATAGCAGGAGCCACCCTCCCAAGGGTGCCCCTGCAGCTCCCGGAGCACCTCTCATTGTCAGAGCTACAGATCACAGCAACACAGCACGTCTCACTTCTGATTTTCTGGGGCCTTTGACCACTTCTTTGGGAGATTAGCATCTCATTGCGGCATCTGGTCTGCTCTTCGGCATTATTATAGACTCCCTAACATTCGTTTCATCCACCTAAAAAATTCAGCACTCTCCCTTCTGTCTATTCCTAGACTGGC